TGATTCAAGTGCACTTGCATTATCTTAAGTCGCTTTGTAGATAATAACATGGCTTCACACTTGTTGGCCAAGTATAATACTTGAAGTACAAGCTGTCAATCATCTTTCGTGGCTGTAAAATCAGTCATGGATAAATCAAAACGCAATTGCGCAAGACGTCGTGTTCTGTATTTCTCTAGAATGGCTAGGACTTGGAGTCGTCCGAAAATTTGGTTTGGATTGGTCTTAGCTAACCGAGACATGGATCCACTATAATACGCCTTATTCATAAAAGGCGGACGCGCGGTAAAAAGGCATCATAAAAAAAGAAGGCGTTGAGATTTAATACTCACCGCTGTATACCATTGGTTGCATGTGTACATAAAGAGACCGTGTTGGCCCAGAAGGAGAAACAAGCTATTCGGAGAGATGTTGGTAGAGTTTTTTCTAGCCTGCGTAGCAAGCGTTTCCCTTTGGTTTCGAAGCAAAATGAGACCGTGGAAGGAGATTTTCGGTTTTGATCGCGCGGGAAATTAAACGAGAACCACTTGCGCCATTTTTCGCGTCGTCTTTGACTCTTGTTCCTGGTTCTTTGCTCCTAAACCGCACAAAAACGCTTGCTACGCAGGCTAATTTTTTCCTATCACCGTGGCATCAAAAATCTGTTCCTTACACTTTTAAGTGTAAGTGTAAGTGTAAGTCTGTTTGTTTTAAAAAACAAACAGACTTATCGAAGGATGACTTAATTGGTGGACGTTTGTCTGTCAAAACAGACGCTTTACCTTCGAGTATTTCCTGGAAAAAACGTCTCCTCGAAACCGTCCTCCCCCTGCCGAAATGCCATGTCAGCAAAAACGTGGGAATTGAAGTCTTAACTGTCTCTGTCCTCGGAGCACGAAATACTAGTAAACAAAACACCTGAAGCAGAAAACTATATTCGTGAGACAGGTACGAATTTCAATAACGATGCCGCGGCGTCGTCAGAATTCGCTGAAACTAACGATATTCAGTTAAAAAAAGTGCCTTCTACTGACGACGAAAATAATCTCAGTAACCCTCCAGAACAATTCAGGGTACTCGACGAAAAATGCGCAGACCTCGAAAATAAGGTTTCGGATTTGGAAGGTAAGAATCGATCGCCTAATTCAAACGCCTTCTCTCTCAATCGGTTTACCTCTGATGAGGCAATGTTATATTCTATACAGGCTTCCCTATATATAAAGCGTTCTTGGCAACCTTGTAATATTTAGATCCAGGGAGTAATGGAGAAAATGTCAGATACTGGTTGTCATGTGATCATTGACATATCCTCGGGCCATTATCTGTCTCCGCCCCAGACCGGTGTCAAAAGAGGGAGGCCAAGATTACTCAAACCCGAAGAAGAATTTTTTTCTTACTTTAACTCTCACTTTATGTCGCCTGAGATAGGGATTTGCAGAAACCCACCTTTCTCACCTGTTTATTGTTTCTCAGGCAACAGTTAGTAGGATTGTTATCAGTTGGATCATTTTTATGTATCTTCGATTTGGAGTGAGTAACATCTGGCCTTGAAGAGAAGAAGTGTCAACAAAACAAATCTTGAAGATTTCAGGAAAGCATATCCCAGCACTAGGTTATACTTGACTGTACTGAAGTGAAGTGTTGCATGCCCAGTAGCCTGCAGTAGCTACAATTTTTGTTCTTTAGCTCAGGCATCTATTTCTTTGGTCTTCTGACCATTCAGTCCTAAAAAAATTGCCAAATTGTTGAAGAAGTCTGAACTATGGCCGAACAAGTGGTCAGAAGTAAAGACCTTAGAAGACAAACCGAGGAGTGAATGGCCGATTTTTTCAAAAACTGTGTGAGAAATATTATCGAAAAAGCTGTAAGTATATGCGTAATAATTCCACAAAATAGAAAGGTAAAAAAAATTTCAACTTCACATTATCGATCAAAGTTTCGAGCACAACGGTATGAGGATAAGTTATCCAAAAAAGTTGGAAAGCATTGAAGAGAAAAAAGTAGTGCACACTTCACGCAGGCATCGTGTCAGAAGGATTTGCCAACTTTATATCAAAGGAGAACCGGCCGGCAAACTCGCGTGATATGAACCCCCTAGAGACCATCTGGATTATCGTAGACGCGACGACATACAAAGATCCAGCCCCTTAAACAATGGAAAAGCTAAGACAGTGACTACGCTTCGCCTGGAAGAATGTGACTTTGGACACGTGTTGGGAGCTGGTACGTTCTATACCTCACCGCTTAGAAAATGTCAGAAAACATACAAGAAGACATTCTGGTGACTAATATTTTAGTTATTCAATGTTAAATGGATAATGAATGACATACTAAGTTTTACCAAAGGCTTTTTTTAATAATTAGTGAAATTTAAGCGAATAAAAAATCGGAACGAACTTTTGAAACACCCTGTATATTTTCGTTCTAGGACCGATCGCCACTGTCGATGTTCTTCCAAAACAAAACAAAATTAAATACTGTTTAAAACACCAAGCAAAACCTAACAAGATGACGTGCCGTATTTTATTAAATGCGTGCAACTAGTGTAAGGTGTTATTATGCTATTTTCAATCAGCATTACGCTTCTTTTTAATTTTGACAAAACATCTCAGATGTCTTTCTATTTCTTAAAAAACTTCAAAATTAGTTGCACCTCAGTTTTTACTGTTTACTTCATTGTGTTTTAGTGAAAAAACGAAGAAAAAACTTTCCAGTTAATTTTCAATAAGCTTGTTTACATGCGGTTGCCGGATTTGCGACGCATTGCGCGAATCACCATGGCGCTTTGCACCCAGTAGGCAAAGTTTGAAGTATATACGTCACTATATCCAAATATATCCAGCAAATTTTTTGTTTATATGTTATGAAAAATTTGCCCCCTTTAATGTTTTAAAATATGCATAAGAATGTTAAAGTTGAGTAATTTGAACTTTTTAAACGGAACAGCGAAAAAATTAAAGACGACGATAAGGTCAACACTTTCAAATTGAACTCGAATTTAATTAGCTTTAATATACGACTAACAAGTTTGACTTATACGCATACGACATAAGCATATGAAATTAAACTGTTCATCAATATTTATATGAAAACAAATTAACTTGTTTCACACTGTAGGCTTAAATTACTAGCCTGCGCATGTGTAGTAGGCTAGTAATTTGACAGGGGATTGTGAGGAAGGAAAAGAGGAAGGGAGATTGCAGGGAGCGAGGGTAAGGGACGCCTGCTATAACAGACCACTTTTGTTCATTTATGATTGGTTGATCTGTGATAAGTAACTTATTGACGTGCATTAGTAACAAACAACCATGATGCAAAATCAAAGGAAACGTGTTCTACTGGCACAAGCTTTGGAAGGTCAAAATATTACCCCAATCATGAAGGAACGTCACGTTGAAACCCAAACTAGAACCAACTGTAATAGCTTGTTTAGAAGGTAGCAAATGCTCACAACGTTTGGTATACTGGATTTGTCCAAACACCGAGCGGCGATTCGAGGCAGTTCTTGTCATCTGCAAAGCCGATATTCACAGGCAAGAGCACAGGTTACAATTATTGGACGGATTTTAGAAGCTGGACACGCGACTTTTCCACAATCTTATACCGCCTTGAATGAACTTCGAAATGGTTTGCAAAGATGTATATAATTTCCCTTTAATAAATTAATCTCGTTTCAGGCTGTCGACAGTTTTGTACTTTGCGACTATTGAGTTTGATGAGGCAAGACCAAAGGTTTTTTTCTGTATTCACAAGAAACTGATTTATTGTTTGTCGTGTTTGCTGAGCAAGAACAGTAATAATGTTGTTATATTTTGCACGATTAAGATATCAATTTTTTTAAGAGCCTCACGACTTGACAATTTCCTGTAAACAAAGAAATTAACTTTGGACCATGCTAAGAAGCGTCCCCTACTAATTGTGATTGATCACGTATCTCGGATTAGGGAGGAAATTGGTGTGCGGACTATACAAGAACACGGGCTCTTATAGCAGGCGCTCCCTTCCCTTTTCCCTTTTTTAGTAATCAAGTACCTCACACCTCTGATTTCAGTGGTCGACTACAACAATATTATATTGCCTTTTATTTTCAGGGATAGGCCCATTTTTATGTCACCGTTTCTATAGTTTTCACAGGCAATTGTGTGAGCTGTTCAGTGAGGTGCTGCTTGACCCCCCTTTTCCCTTTCTCCTTTTTTCGCCAGGGTTAAAAACTACAGATAGAAAAAAAAGGTTTCCGGTTTGCAAAAAAGGAAAATTTCGCAGGCCTTCAAACACACCGGAAGCGTGGAAAGAGCGCTCGTGCCAGTCCTACTTCTCATCACATATCACTTGAAGAGCGGAGTGCTCGTTTCATCGCCCAAACATTTAACCGCCCTAGTTCGGTCTTTTGCTTCCGTCTCCTTTCTGAACTTCCGGCCTCTCAAATGACCCTGACGACATTTTTCACTGGTAGGTTTTCGGTCGCTAAAACATAAGAAACATCTGCTTTCCAAAACTGGTGACAATTATTCCATGAAACTCTTAGCTAATAAGTTTTCTTTAACAGTCTGACACGTGACCTGATGTCGCAAAAAGCCCACCGAAAGATTTTGACGCTGTAGATAACTTTTTTCAAGGTGGAGAACCTCGCACAAAATGTCTTTCAAGACTGTCCTGTTTGCTTTCACTATCCTAAACGCTAAATTCTTCTGCATAGCTAAAAACCCGTGCGATGGCGTAAGATTTCACGAGGACGCAAAGTTTCAATTTCCCAGCGTCCTGCCAAACGGTTCTGAGTATTGGAAAGACCTTGTTTGCCGTTTCGCAAATTGTCTCCTCAACTCAGACAACAGTCCTATAAAGCCGTCGCGAGAAAACTATCCAAAACGGGATCATGAATCTTGGATACATGTTACTAGTACTTTTCCTGTGATATCTGAATCGCCAAACATAATATTTAAACGGCTGCCACGGCCTGTTTTGGTCGTCAAAGAAACTTCCTCAGGTACCGCAAGCCAGATGTTGAGGGCTCTTGGACAGATATGGAAACTATTCGCCTTTGCCTTATAGCTGCCGCATTGTCGGGAATCATAATTTGGTTCTTTGTAAGTACTTCAATACTTACGAAAATACTTCCATTATTTGGAGAGAACACTATTCATTAACAAAAATGTTTTAACTATTACGATCACGTTACCTTTCATTTTTCATGATGAAGTTTAAAACGCGGTTTTACATTTGATAGGGGAATGACGGCAAACAGTCATTGTACACATTAATAATGAACATAGACAATAGAGCCATGACTTCCATTCAGCATGACATTCGTTTAGTGTTATTGGGTTGGAACGGTTAAATGCTAATATTTTTTTGTTTATAGGATCACAAAGCAAACTCCGGTCATTTCCCTCCATCATTTTGGATAAGCATACGTGAAGGCTTATGGTGGGCCATTGTTACCGCGACAACTACGGGGTAAGTACTTTTATATATTTTTTACGGGTAGCAGGATCTTGACGGAGGAGTTATTGTTTATACAGCAGAAACCTTTAAGATAAACGTTTTCATCATGAACCGTCAAGAAATTAATATTTTTTCAGTTTATAACAGTCAACCACCTGCCTACTGCAGTAGTCCACTCGTGCTTTTAGCGCTTCTAATATTTCTAAGAAAATTATCCCATTGAAATCAATTTGATTTAGCACTAAATTGCTATCGATGTTATATACTGATTTCAATAAATGTGCTCGTGCGGAAACGTAAATTGAAGCCAAAGCATGCATATTCTTCAGCCTTTTGAGTGCAATTTGCATGATATATTTGGCACGTTTTCCAAATTATACTTTAGTAATTATGGCGACAAGGCTCCATAATCAATCTGTACTTGCGCGCTAGAGCGGTGCCTCACTTTACTATAAAAGATTTCAAAGGGTTGAGACTCTTAAGCTACGTGCAAATGTGTTGACAGTGGTGTGCAAACGGTTGCAACAACTCCCAGCAATGTTGGGGAGACCTGCATAACCTAGTGGGAAGGATACAAACCATAACACTTTGTAAACTTGAATTCGACAGCCATCTTGGCGCGTGCGTAGCTTCGACAATGTTGGAAGAGCTGTGCAAAAGGATCCAACATTGTTGCGCTGCGCTTGGGCAATCAAGGAAGAAAACAAAAGTTGGCAGTTGTTGGCTCAAACGTTCGACGCGTCGGTTTCAAACTTTGCGCAGCAACAACTCCAACAACATGCAACAGGGTGTGCAAACGGACACAAATTATAACATCCAACAATGTTTGCAAAGGTTTTTAAAAAACTGTCGAGTTTACGAACGAGTTTTCCCAGCCAAGTGTCAAGTTCGCATTCGTATTGAGTGTCTAGGTTTTGCTGCCAAAGGTGCAAATTATTGTTTGTGAGTTTTGTTTAAATCACTAGAGAGTTTTCAATACACAAAATTTTCCATGATCTATGCCCTTATCGACCACAGAAGTGGCGCTGCAATGTTGAAAACTCAAGGGGAACCACTGCAAAGCTTGACAATTTTTGACGTCATTTATCTGGCCGTTTTTCTAATTTTTGATACCTATTTCCGCTAAAGGTGCCGGGAAAAAACACGCATCAAAGAAAAAGAAAAAATAGGCCATCGTCATCACGTCATCCCCATGGATGATACGTTCATCAACAATAACTCTCGACCGCTCAGCGCGGAAAAATCGCTTAATTATTGCAAAATGTTCAATCCACCGCTGGCTACTTTTTAATGTTTCTTCGGCAAGCTTCCTTGAACTCGTTCCCAGGGCCTCCTCCGTTGTCCCTTCCTTGACTGTTGTGGCAAACAGGGAAAATTCGCAAAAGGTAAAGGAAAATACTTGAAAGCTGTGTTTATCGGTTTCACTGTTCATCAGGAGTAGTTTCATTGGCCATCATTGAGCTATAGCACATCTGTAAGTGATGTACTTTTCCGATCTATTGTAGGTTGGCGTGCCTTTGGGAAGCCTTACTTTTTTTCAGGATTACAGCATGGATGCCCCATCCATCAAAGGTACAATATCAAAGCTTGCATGCTTTTTACTAAAATCCCTTATCAATATGACAGTAACCTCCATTTCATTGCACAGCATAACTTCCCACTTATCTCAGAACTTGTAGGTAGCCCTCACATCTAAATACCTTTAAAGTGTTACAATGACTTTGAAATCGGAGGTCCGGTAATTTACTTTATTTGTTAAAAAAATAAAAATAATACCTAAAACGATAAAAAACGTGAAACGGTAAGCGTGACAAAGCTTTAAGTTTATACAGTGGCCAAAGCTGTGAACTGGAAAACTTGAACGATGTCTAATATCAGAGACATGGATATCGACATTCAGATAGACACACTGCAGAGTGTCCTCATGAGTTGGAAATAAACGAGACCCTGCATGAACATTATACCAATAAATCATCAGAGAAAGGTGAGATGTATAATGGCAAAGATTTTTACATAGTGCTTAATTACATATATGTGTGAACCACTTGAGATTGGTGGAGAATGCAGCACAGGTAGCCGTGAACAGCAGGTGCAAGGGTACCTACTTTTCCATCGATACTCCACAGCAGCAAAAAAATTAAGGGAGGCTTGAACCCTCTCGCAGTAGTCTTTTTCTGACGGGCTTGAACGTATATCTAAGGAAGGTTGCTGATGCAATATTAGGTAGACTTTAATTTCAAGACGACTGTACCCTGTACCCTTGAAGAGCAGGGGAGGGTGAAAACGAATACGCACCTTCACCTGCGCAAGCACAGTAACAGCACTAGGAGCCACATCACGAAAACAATAACACACCAATTACCTTAAACCTACTAAGAAATTGAAAAAGATGCATCTGTTTAAACATTCCTTTCACCTCATTTCTGCACCACTGTTGAATATTAATAATCTTTCTCTTCTTAATTAGGTTTTTTTTTCCGGATAAATAAAAAATTAATTTGCAAAAGACATTCCCGTCTACACAGCAGAGGATCCTAATTTTTCTGTAAATTGTAGACCAATTTCATTGCTACCTATTTTTTCAAAATTTTTTGAAAAAGTTATGTACAACCACCAACGAGAATTTGCTGAAAAATCGAAAAATATTGCTGTTGGTTTGGATTACAAAAAATCACTCGACATCAGTCTTGTGTTAATTCATTTAATAACAAAATATCTTCCGCAAAAGAGCAGTCAACTTGAAACCACTGAAGGTTTTTTCGCGGATCTTTCCAAAGCATTCGACACTCTTGACCATCAAAATATCCTGTTTGCAGCTCTGCAGTAAATTAAACGCTATTTTTCTTGCCGCCAACAATTTTTTCAGTTCAATCCAGCTTGTTGCCCATTGCAGACGGTGTTTCTCAAGGTTCCATCCTGTATTTTTCAAATCAATACATTTCAATAACCAAATTTATGTTTTATTAACATAATCAATTGTTGCCTTACATGTTTCTTAATTCGTTTGTAACAAGTTCTCAATTACATAACTATGGCAATCGGGGGGAACAGCCAGCAATTGTCGATCGCACTCTTGTCGTACAAATCTTAAGCAATCTATTATTCTCTGTCAAAGTCCGAAAATTTGGAGTTCTCTGTCAGCGCCGATTACTTGTTCAGGAAGCTTTCCTAGCTTTAAGTAAAAGATGTTACAGTTTTTACTAAAATAATCCTGAACTGGCCAAGCCGCACACGCACAGCACTTATATTACTTGCAAATATATTTATATTAGAGGTGGTCTCTGTAATAGGCCTGCAGTAAACTTAAATAAGGAGGCAGCGTGGCGGAGTGGTCAGCGCGCCGGACTCATAATCCGGCGGTCACGAGTTCGAGTCCCTCTCTGGCCACTTGCTGGATTTGTTCTCGGTCGTCCCGAGTTCAAACCCGCAGGCATGCTTGTAAATAGGCAACTGGTTGCCTCCTGCCAGTTGCGGTTTTTTTTTTTATCTTGTTATGCAATTATTTGTTTCTAAGTATTTGAGTGGAGTGCCTGTAAACTAGCTAAAAAGGTCGGTAGATACCGTATTTATTCCAATAAGCGCCCAACCTCGAATTAGCGCTCAGCTCGAATAAGCGCCCATCCTAAAGGCAGAAAAAGTTAATAAGCGCCAGCCTCGAATAAGCGCCCATCCCGTCCTCCTCCCCATCAAACTCAATAAGCGCTCACCCCACTTCGCCGACCTGAGTGAATAAATTCTAATAGGAAACTTCCCCGAGGACGGAGTTTTCAGAGTATTTTACAGAAACCTTGCTTTGTTACTTCTTTGCGTTTTGTTATTAGCATTTATTGCTTTGTTGCAAAATAAAAATACTTCGCTTGCTGAAAATGGTGAAAATTTGATAAGCGCCCAGCCTCGAATAAGTGCCCACCTCGAGTAATCGCCCACTCTCAAGGTCCAAAAATTTAATAAGCGCCCTGGGCGGTTAATCGAATAAATACGGTAGATACCCTTGCTAAACACTTTAATGTCTGCACTTCCTTGAGGGTCTCAATGGGGTTAACCGATAGGCGTAAACCGGCCAAAAGTTTAGTCGATAGCCGTAAAAATTGAAAAATTTTAACCGTTAGTCGTAAAAAGGGTAAAAAAGAGTTAACCGTAAAAGAAATTGTTCTAAATTGAAAAATTTTAACCGTTAGCCGTAAATAGGGTAAAAAAGAGTTAACCGTAAAAGAAATTGTTCCCTAGATTTGCTACTTTTAAGGAAGGTACTAAACTCACTTATGGTTACGTTTTTTATTTTCCGGCTATTGTGACTCCGTACGCACGTTAGGTAAAGCGCCTTTAAGGTGTTGACCAACACCCATTTCCATTTCCGCCGTTCTCTCGGGGAACTAATTTTTTTTCCATAGCGAAAGTGTGGCTTCTTGCCAGGGATTAATATTTGCGATTTTCAGAAGGTCGTTCCCTCGAAACAATGGTGAAACATCACGCAGAGATCTCACTGTTTGTAAAACACGTTGCCGATAAACAACATTTCCCTGTTTTTCTCTGACTCTGCGGTAGACATTGCCATGCCATGCCTAGTCCCTGTACGGCGTCTCGAGTCCCACGCAGTCTCGGTCAAGGCATTTCGGTGGCGAACTCGCTCGGATCAGGTGACCCGAAACGCGTTAGCCGCGCGAAATAATGAGGCCTACGGACAAGGTAACGGCTGACAGTGGTTCCGTACAGTCCTTCGCTATCATTAGAAACACTGGACACGGGAATTTTGTTATTGGCCGTTTTCACACCAGAGCTAGAAACGGATTATCCGTCTGAGACTAGCCTGTGTACAGTCACCCCCTTCCACCTTCCCGACAGACACCCCTTCTCCGATTTTTTTTCTGAGGGGAGGGGGCAGCTGTACACAGGCTATCTGAAACGGATAATCCCGTCTTCAAACTGTCCGTCGAAATTGAAGGATAAAGTCAGGCGGATTGTTCATTCCAAATTAAAACTATTCCATTTTCAAATTAAGACGTATTTACCTATCTG